CCATTATTTTAAAGTTTCGGATTCTTCTTTTTAAAAAAAAAAAGACTTCTTGTGGTTTGATAAGGAAAGGGTTAAAAACAGTTGATATTGATATTGATATTTGATAACCACTCTTCTACCACATCATAAATGGACAGGTGGCTGATGAAAAAGTGAATGTGCAAGATGCGCTGAAGATTGGCCAGGCTATGTGTGAAAAGTTTTCTTCATCACTTCCGGAGGCGTTTCATGCACCCATCTCTAACAAGGTAGTGACTTGTAGGTTGTCTACAAACCGGAAGGTTGGTTGTTCAATCCCCAGTTCCACCTGACCAAGTGTCGAGGTGTCCATGAGCAAGACACCTAATCCCAGCTGCTCCCGACGAGCTGGATGGCGCCTTGCATGGCTGACACCGCGTCGGTGTATGAATGACTGAGTGGGTGAATGTGAGGCAAAATGTAAAGCGCTTTGGTGGCCATTGGGTCTGTGAAAGCAAATGGAGTCCATTTACCATTTTACTATGAAGTTCCAGAAAACGGGAATGAAGGTCAGGGGGAAGGTTGTCTGTGACCTTAAGTGTTGGGCATTTGCTCGACAATTGGTGGTGGGAGGCCAGAGAAAAATGGAGCTCTCTTCTCTCTTTAAATATGAGCTTAGCCCAGTCCCCTTGTCTATCATTGATGACAATGGATGCCTCGGAAAGGGCAATAAGTCAGTGCTTGTCCAGCAGTTTGGGAATTCCAGTCTGCAATCCCCAGCCACCAGATGTTGTCATTGTGGATGCATCCCAGCTCATTTATCACGTGGTTTGGCCATCGTCTGGGACAGTGGCAGATCTCGCAGCCAGCATGGGATGTCGGCTTAATTGTTATGACACCCAAACATTTGTCATCTTTGACAGATATTTGCAGGTGTCGTCCAAGGACCATGAGAGACATAGAAGAGCAGGAGAGAGCTCCACAGAGTACAAGCTCTCATTGACTACACCTCTACCTAGTCGAGACAAAGTCTTGAAAAACAAGCACAACAAACAAAGGCTGAGCGAACTCCTGTGTACTTTCAATGTAGGAAGTAGAGAATTATGTTAGAAATCAAAGTACTCTTGCATCTCAATGATCGCTATACATTTACAGGAACTAGTTTGTCAGCAGCGGCGGCATTTTACTTTGCTCCGGTTAGTAGGAACTTACTGCGCCGAAAAGTAAACACAGAACCGAAGCGCACTAGTCGGAGCTACCTGCACTAGCTCTCTCTCTCACTACCTCTCTCGGTTGCCTAGGTAACTTAATATCCCTCCACCGCTGATGTAGACTGTGCTAATAAATACAGGGAACAAAGTATAACTATTGCAATGCGATGAAATGTTAGTTTGATTTCTAACATTATTCTCTCAACAGACATTTACATCGATAGTCTGGGGTTGTAATTTATTTGCTTTTGGTGTACTGTGGAGTGGGTAAAACTGTTTTTAATTGCAGGCTAGCAGTTACCGTTGACTCGCGCTAGCCTAGCACTGGCGAACTATGCAACTGGAAGGACTGGATGAAATTTTTTGAAAACTGTCTCGAGTTATCAAGAGAAAATTGTATTTATGGAGATAAATTGTAGCCTATCACAAAGCAAACGTATGCTTCGGTGGTAAATCACCAAAGGGCTTCCGGTCAAGAAATGGAGAATGTTCCGCTGGATAGTGGACGCCATTGATGGGCCTTCAATGCCTCCCCGAGCCAGGGATGAGACTCAGGATGGGAGGTCTCGGCGGGACGAGACTCTGGACGGGCAGTCTTGGCAGGACGAGACTCTGGGCTTAGGATGAAGATCAGGCTGAACGGGCAGCCTCGGCAGGACGAGACTCTCGGCTTGGGATGAAGATCAGGCTGGTCAGGCAGTCGTGGCGGGACGAGACTTTGGGCTTGGGATGAAGATCAGGCTGGTCAGGCGTGACGTGAAGATCAGGCTCGTCAGGCAGTCTCGGCGGGACGAGACTCTGGGCTTGGGATTAAGATCAGGCTGGTCAGGCGTGACGTGAAGATCAGGCTGGTCAGGCGTGACGTGAAGATCAGGCTCGTCAGGCAGTCTCGGCGGGACGAGACTCTGGGCTTGGGATTAAGACAGGAGGTGTGACGTGAAGTTCAGGTTGGTCAGGCGTGACGTGAAGATCAGGCTGGTCAGGCAGTCTCGGCGGGACGAGACTCTCGGCTTGGGATGAAGATCAGGCTCGTCAGGCATGACGTGAAGATCAGGCTCGTCAGGCAGGCAGTCTCGGCGGGACGAGACTCTGGGCTTGGGATGAAGATCAGGCTCGTCAGGCATGACGTGAACGGCGTACTGAGAGATGAAGCTCTACAGACAAATGAAGAGCGCCTCTCTCCAGTTTCATTGGTGACAACAGTGCAAATCAAATCAAGCTGTAGATGATGTGAAACCTGTATTGTTCTCTGATGTGTCCACCTTCTCTGTCTTTCCCGCATCTGTGGGAGTTACGGTGTGGAGAAGAACTAAAGAGTTTGAACACTCGGACGGCAGCATGGGGCGGATCAGTGATGGTTTGGGCTGCGATATCATGGCATTCTCTACTGTGCTTGATGGACACGTCTCTGTCAAAGATTACTGATCCGTTCTGGAGGACCATGTCCATGTGCACCTACAGGTTCAAACATTGTACCCTGAAGGGGGTGCTGTGTATCAGCATGATAATGCACCAATACACACAGCAAGACTGGTGGCAGATTGGTTTGATGAAAATGAAAGTGAAAGTGAAGTTGAACATTTCTCATGGACTGCAAAGTCACCAGATCTGATGTTATTGAGCCACTTTGGAGTATTTTAGTCAGAAAGCGTTTTCCTTCACCAGCATCACTCATACCCATTTTCCATCAAAGCATTTTGAGAGCCAGTTTGGACCCGGTGCCTACTCGCGAACCATTTCTTTGTGTTTCGACAGCCAAAGAACCGGTTCTCGGCCAGGAAAATGGGTTCCAAAGCGACACCAACACTTTGCTGGACTAGAACCGTTCTTTTACCACGTCATGCTTACGTCGGGGGCGGGGTTATTGTGGCCACACTTTGGGAATGGGAAAGCTAAGACGTATGGAGACGTACACAGTGACGCAACTACGTTGTTCGCTGGGCTCTCTAGTCAGTGGAAAAACAAACAGGTTCTGAGAAGGTTCGCAAGTTGAACCAGCACCAGTTCCGAACCAGTTCTTTTTTGGTGGAAACTAGGTAATAGTGACCTGAACTGTTCAGAAGAGGAACGACTCAAAATCCTTCTGGCCACTGTGAAGGAGAGGGACGTTTATAAGAGAGACAAAAAAATAAATAAAAACAAGTTTAAAAAAGGCAAGCAGTTTTAAAAAAGAAATCATATAGGCTAAATGGGGGATCATACTAAATACCACAACGGAGTTATATACTACTACTGTGTATAATTTCTCCTGTTTTTGTCTCCTTTATGATCTCTCTTTCAACACAAGAAACCCGTTTTTGAAACCGTAATACATTTTTGTCAGGATTCTTCAATGAATAGAAAGATCAGAAGAACAGCATTTATTTGAAATGGAATCTTTTGATCAATGTAATGCATCCTTGTTAAATAAAAGTATTTCTTTTTTAATATCTTTGATATGAATGTTATCCTCAATGTTCATCATATGATGTTAAAAATGTTATTGATGCTATGGAATTCTTAGAGCATTATATGTGAAACATTTGTATCTCTTGAAATGTAGCATATTTTTAATAAACGTTTAAAAAATCATAAATGGGCTTTTTCGTTTGGTGTTGTTTTGGGATCCTTTATTCATTTGGATTTATTTTTTTATTACAAAACAGTAATGAACAATAATAGACAAAAATGAGGGTTACAAGACAAAACCACAAAGAATATTAAATCAGCTTAAATGTTTTACACCATGACAGTCTTATACACAGTAGAGTTTTTAGATGTCATCAAACTTTTTCTTAAACATAAAAAGAAGGATTTTTCTCTGAAAATGTACATTTGTGAATATAACATTTGGCAAGAAAAAGTAGTAATTTAATTACAAATTTAAAATGAGAAGGGTCTAATATCAGAGAGTATTTGTGGCTTATACAGAAGTTTGAAGATAGATGCATGTGCCTTTTAACAAAGTTTGAAAAGTCAACCCAAAATACTTTGCCATTCACACAGTCCCAAAACACATGATTGTCTCTTCAAACTAATGACAAAAGGAGCACATGGGGGAAAACTATTATTCAATTTAGCAAGTTTATAGTTAACTGGGTAGCAATTGTAAACAATTTTAATAGAGAATTCAACAATAATTTGGATTTCTTCACCACTACTACTAACCGGTTTGATGACGCATCAGTGATACTGAAAGCTGATTGGCCTTGATGGTTATACATGCGGGAAAAGGCCAATTTAATTTACAAGATGATGTCCGATTTATTCTCCCTTGTGCCTTTTTACACGCATTTTCCACGGATTTTAATAATAAAACTCTTCTGAACGAATCTCATATTCAAGAAATGTCAACATTAAATTTGTAGCTATTTAATAAATCAGATTCGATGTTTGCTCACGCGCTCTGCTCATGTGCGCGTGATTCGAAATTTAGTTGCTATAGCGACGCGTTTTATGAATTCTGCATATATATTTACACTTGAACCGATCGCTGTCTGTTGGTTGAGAGACGAGGCGAATAACAGACTTGCAGAGAATTTTCTGAGCTAAACTTGAGACTTGAAAGTTGTTTTCTGGAAACAGCAACAGCGGAGAAGAGACTTTTATTCTAGACGGACATCGGAGGATATATCCTTTATATATAGTTATATTTTTGAAAGTGTCATAATTTCTGAGAATACTTTTCATTAGATTTTTCTTTTCTTATTTTATTAGGAGTTTATTTAATTTTTTTGTTTTATTTAATTGTTTATTTTTAGGGGAGTATTTCTGAAGAGATTTGTGTTTTATTGTATTGTATTTTGTGTTGTATTTTGTTATTGTTTTATTGCAGTTTGGAGGAGGATGCCGATGGCTCACATGATGGGTGAAAGAGGAGGTGAGTGCTTCAGTTTTTCATTTATGGTTTATGGTATGATGTTGTACAATGACTGACTACATTAATGTGAAGAACCAATTTGATCACATTTATTTCATTCCTTGCATGTGAAATAAACTTTTGAATTTGAGTAACTGAAGTAAACATTTGTAATTGACCACTGACATTTATTATTATTATTAACACATTACTAACTATGTGATGTGTGAAATATTCCATCCTCAGGCCGCTCCAGACCCAGGAGAGCTGCTTTCTCTCAGACGGCTGGTCAGGAGGTTTGGAGACCCGGTTCTGATGGCCGTGATCAGGATCCGCTGCCAGACCCGACACAGAGCCAGGATCTTCCTGGATATTTAACATCTCTGTCTTCTGAGTTTTCTGTTTCTGTGTCCACAGGTCAGACTCACGGGACGAGGGCGAAGCAGAACCCAGATGATGGACGTCCGTCCACTTCATCCAAACACTCTCGCAGAGGTCAGAATAGGCTTTTAATAAAGAAGTAATGATGGCTTAGTTTCTATTTCTATTTTAATGGCTGATTTGTCATTGAAAATAGAAAGTTGAACCAACTAAAGTAACGGTAACACTTTATTTTGATGGTCCCTTTATATTTACATTCTGTTGACTATAAGTAACTTTGCACCTTCATGTCAACTAACTCTCATTACAGTATCAGTAGACTCTCTGCTTAATATCTGCTAACTCTTTATTGTGATGCTCCTCCAACAGACACTCTACTGACTATAAGTAACTTTTCAACTATTCATGTCAACTTATTCTAACCCTACCAGTCTACTATTACTCTACTAATACTCTAATGAGAGTTAGTAGACATGTAAGTGCAATGTTACTTATAGACAACTGAATGTCTTAAAGGGACCAAAATAAAGTGAAACCAAAGTAACAATTTGATGTGACCACTGACATTGATTATTAATATTATAAAAAAATATATTAAACAAAAGAGTTTTTGATGTGTGAAATGTTCCATCCTCAGGCGGCTCCAGATCCTGGAGAACTGCTTCCACAGACTCTTCTCCGGGCTTCACGTCGTCCTCAGCTTTGTCCCTCTCTGAGGTCCGTGTGGAGAGGAGGTGTAGAGAGTCGTTGAGTCTGAGCAGCCGAGGCTCCTACAGCGTCGAGTGGAGATGGAGTGGCGATGGATCGGAGAGCCCAAACCAACAGGGCTTGTCCAGGTCCGACAGCCTCGAAGCGTTTCTGTGTCCTCCGCTGCCGGGTCAAGTTCCTGTCGAGCCAGCAGAGACTTCCACTGGCCGAACTGCTCAGGGTGCCGTGGAGGCTTCTCCAGCGAACAAGAGCTCAACAGGTGAGACTGAGATACGGCTGGGCAGTGTAAAGGCTACAGAGACAGATTTAGCTATTTCATGCATAACCGAGTCAAGTTTTTAACTTGTTAGTGTCCGGTCAAATTTACTGGTGCTCAGCAAAATTTTCTTTCTGATTTTTTATTTATTTTATTTTTTGGTAACACTTTATTTGGATGGTCCCTTTTGAACATTCTGTTGACTATAAGTAACTTTGCAACTACATGTCAACTAACTCTCATTAGAGTATTAGTAGACTCTCTGCTTAATATCTGCTAACTCTTTACTGTGATGCTCCTCCAACAGACACTCTACTGACTATAAGTAACTTTACAACTACATGTGGACTTATTCTATCCCTACCAGTCTACTAATACTCTAATGAGAGATAGTAGACATGTAGGTGCAGCGTTAATTATAGACAACCGAATGTCTTAAAGGGACCATCAAAATAAAGTGAAACCTAATATTTTTGTTTTTTATATTTTAATTGGACGTTCATTTTCAGAACATTCCGAGAACATTCGAAAGTAACGTTCCCATAATGCAAAATTATCAAAATAGAATGTTCCTTTAACCAAGATCAAACAGTTTTGAAACGTTGAAAAAACTGGATGTTTTGAACGTTCAGGGAACATTTAGAAATAATGTTTTCTTAACTTAATGTGAATGTTAGCAAAACGTTCTCAATAAGACATGAACTCGAAGGTACTTGCGCTGTCTGACACACACCAGAAACACGCGCACAGAAAGCCGCTTCTCAGACAGCATACGATCCAGAAAAGAATTCAATTTCACCACTTATTTCTAATTACTATTATTTTTAAATAAGTTATGTCATTATATCATAGCATAATTTGACGTCAGAGATGTGTCTAATAGTTGTTTTCATTGGTTGTTCAGAGAAAGCTCCAGACCGCAGGAAGAGGAGAAGAGCTGCTGGTTCCAGGCTCTGGAAGGCTCTGAAGAGTGTTTTCTGCTGCTGTTCCTCCAGTGCTGTGAATGTTGTGGAGCCTTTTGTTCCTCCAGCAGATCCTGATCCTGAACCATCATCACCTGCTCCAGATCACTCCGGCGTCGAGCCAAATAATGGTCAATCGACACTCATTATTTCTACAAAACATTTTTTTAACAGTATTATCTTGTTTTCCACTAAAAATAAGGCTTGTTTTTAGAGAATATTAATATTATTTCCCCCATTATAATATATATCTCGACCAGCACTGATATTTTTTAAATAAAACAATGGATCTAGCAAGCTAATACTTTTCTCATATTTGTCTGTTTGTTTTTCAGAGTCCTTTGAGTCTCTCTATAACGTGGATAGGATGATTGGATCCGGAGGATTTGGCAGGGTGTTCCTGGGAACACGCAAATTTGATGGCAAAAAGGTAAATACTGAATTACTGAATTGTACAAACATTTTGCTCTTGCAAAACACATTTAAAACAATTTACAGATGGTTTAATACTTAGTGCAAGGTCAGGCGCTTGAATACTCTTACTGTTATTGAAACTGTTTTTTTTTTTTTGCAGGTTGCCATCAAGCGGATGTGCAAGATTGACAACGATCGTTATCTTAATATTGTAAGTTAGCCAGAACCTGAGTGTGTATTGAGTTGTTTAAGTCCAGATGACAGTAGTTCATACACCCGTAGGAAGCATTAGGTGTAAATGTGATCAACAAAAAGCCTAGAGGCAGCAAATAACTTTGAGCTGAAAAGGCTCTTTTGAATGCATCTAAAAAGATCAAAGAAAAGTACATTTCAAAATGAAATGTTTTCTTCATATTTTTACCCAGCTAACCTTCTGTCTGCTTCTCCTCTCTAGCCCGGGAATCCCGAACCTCTCGTTACAGAAGTGGCGCTGCTGATGATGATGAGGCGAGAACCCATAAGCCCCTTCGTCATACGACTATACGAGTGGTTTGAACATCCTAGAGAATTCACTCTGGTTCTGGAGTATCCTGAACCCTGCGAGAGCTTGCTGGACTTCATCACTCGTAATCATCAAGTGTGTGAACCGACAGCACGGGTCATCATGAGACAGGCTGTGCTGGCAGTGCAACACTGCATCCATCGGGGTGTTTTCCACAATGACATTCATGCGCAGAACTTCCTGTTGAAGAAAACCCCGGTACAGCTCAAGCTGATAGACTTCGGCTGCGGTCAGCTGTTTAGTAGCGACGGCTACGAGAGCAAAATATACATCGGTGAGCATTCTGGGAGTGTGGAAACCTGAATGCAGTGACTTACTAATTATTTGATGCTTTAAACAAAAAAAGCTCACCAATGTGCAAATGTCTTGCTTACAGGAGTAGCGAATTACCGCCCGCCTGAAGTCTTGACAGAACCTCGATTCCACGCCGTCCCGGCAAATGTCTGGGCTCTAGGAGTGTTGCTGTACCAGATGGTGAACGCATGTTCTCCTTTCCACAGTAGAAGAGAAATCACACTCGCCAAAGTTACATTTCAGAACTCCAGCTTATCCAGAAGTGAGTGAATAATATTGATAACATTGATAAACACACACATAAAGCAACGGCTTTGTACAGAAACACTTAAAGGTGAAGTATGTAAGTTGTTTTATATATAGCTCAACGTATAGAGAGAGTTTGGGGCGAGAGCCGTGGGGAAAGAAATGCAGCTTTAGTTACAGAAGTGAAAGCCAGAATTCACTGCATTTATACCTTCAGAGATCAAACCGGTCATGAACACGTCAAAGTGGACAGAGCATTGTGATGCAGAAAGGCACATTTTCATAAAGACAAATGCAACACAGCTAAAAGTATTACTAATATGTTGGGCCTGAAACATGCCTTCACAAGAGCCAGTAAGAGCCGCGTTTGAGACGTTTAAGTCGGGGAAGACGCGATGCACGGAAGGGGCCTTTGCAAGGTTTTTTGAAAATATGCTTTATTTTGTCATTTATTCCACTCGCTGCCACTAGTGTCGCAGAAACGACATACTTCACTTTTAAACTAAAGATAAGGAACATTTGACAGTATTTTAATCATGTTTTAGATGCTGTGTTCATAGATGCCAGGTCACATGGTCATGACTAACCAGCTCTCTCCTTATTCAAATGTGAACAGAATGCAGGGATCTGATTAGCCAGTGTCTATCCCGGGATCCAACTAAACGCCCGACGTTAGAGCAGATGTTACAACATAAATGGATTAGTAGTGATCGACAGTAGATTGGAGAAGTTCAGGAGATTCACTCGATCAGTTTCAGGTGTGAGGAAGTGTAACAGAGAGCAGGATTATTATCTTTTGCCTTTTTTCATTGTAATGTTCTTGTTATAGTCAAGTCAGCTTCATTTATATAGCGCTTGATACTATACAGATTGTTTTAAAGCGGCTTCACGGTAGTAAACAGGAAAATAACAGAATCAGTGATGCAAACAGAATTCAACTCTGTTCTAGCTCTATAAAATCATTCATGAGTTGACTTGTTCATATAATCTTTGTATTGGATAGGAAATAACATCCTTGCTGAGAGCTCTGACTCGAGACTCGACCCGAAGCCTGAAGTCCAACACCAACCTGACAGAAACTCAGAGCCGGTCCACGTCTGAGCGAGAACATGAGAGACTGCAAGACCGGAAGAAGTCATCAAGTCATCACACACACATTTGCTTCGTTTCAAAAGTCAAGACAAGTCATCTTTATTTATATAGAGTTCCGGGGATGACGTTGTTACCGGACCGGAAACCGTGGGCATTCGGCAGATTGGCAGACTGTTGTGGTGAAGGCGGCTAAACATGGTCGATAACTGTTGTGCGCCAGGTTGCACAAATAAACGAGGGAAAAAGAAACGTCGTTTTACCGCATTCCTAAAGATGCGGAGAGGCGAGCTAAGTGGATCAGCGCCATTAAAAGAGCCAGGAGCAAGCAAAACAAGACTGAAAGATGGGACCCCCCAGCCGTCGGATTCCGCTTGTGCAGCGATCACTTCATATCAGGTAAGTTACCAAATACAAAGCTTACTAACATAAGTATCTTCATTATTTAAGGCTATAATTGTGGTTTCTGATCACTTTAATACTAGCTAGTTGAATTATAGCATGCAATTTGTGGGGCTAACAATGTCATGTTTTGTAAGCTAGCAAGTGCTAACGTAGTATTCAAAAATACCCAGTTCGATACTGAAATGTTTCTATTTATTTTTTAGAGAGAAAGAGTGATAATCCCTTGAGTCCGGACTTTGTTCCATCTCCAGAGAAGAGGAAAAGAAAAATGAGACTGGAGGTTTTCAACAGACGACAGAAAGCAAAGCTACAGAAGATAGAGCAGACAAAGCTATCTGCGAAAGCCATCCCTACCAGGTGAATATATCAAAGTTTCTTAACCTGTTCAACCCCACTTCCATGGACTTTAAAATTATAAACCAAAAAGTTTTCGCACAATTCATTGTAGGTTTAATAACACCCAATGAGCTAAAAACCATACCATCTGTGACTGGTTTGAAAACATCACACACCTCTACCGACTTGCATTTGGCAGCATGGGATTGTCACTGTCATTGTCAAAATCTATCTATCTATAATATATATTATGATGTAAATGTGCTATACAAATAAAATTTACTTACTAATGAAAGCTAGTATATACTGCTGAAAACAGAGAGTGATTGACAAAAAAATGTCAAACTGTCATCAGTTGTGTATACATATACTCTTAATCTACAACTTTTGTGTTTTCACCAGAGCATCAACAGATTGTCCCCAAGACAGCAACAATGATCCTCCTGCAGACCAGACTCCCACCACAGAGCCTTTGAAGGAATCTACCCATGAAGAACCTGGAAATGATGTCCAGCCTGTTCTCCACGAGGATGATCCAGCAACTCCACCATGCAGCACTGAAACCTGTAGTGAACGCGTCCAATCTCTTGAGCAAGAATGCCAAGCTCTGAGGACTGAAAATATGTTGTTGAAGGAAAAAATGAATAGGACTACACTGAATGAGATGAGCTTGCATAACGATGATAAAAGAGTTAATTCTCTCACTGGTTTATCAACATATTCAATTCTCATGACAATTTTTCATATTGTGGCTCCTTTTCTCAAACTCAAAGCTGGTTTAACATGTTTTCAGCAGTACATTGAATTTTTGGCATTGACTCAACCACTGTTTCAAAGCTCTTCAAACACTGTATTAGTGTGATGCATTGTAGACTGGTGCCAAGTCTAGTGTTGTGGCCTGACAGAGAATATTTAAGAAAATCTCTTCCATATGCATTTCGAAACAGTAGCTTTGAAAAGACAGTTTGCATTATAGATTGTTTTGAAATATTTCAAGAGAAACCCAGTAGATTGCTAGCCAGTCCTCAGTGTTACTCATCACACAAATCGCACCACACAATGAAATATTTAATTGCAATTTGCCCTCAAGGTTCCATTTGTTTCATTTCCACTGGATGGGGAGGTCACACAAGTGATAAGTTCATCACAGAACAAAGTCACTTTTTATCTCATTTGCTCCCAGGCGACGTAGTTTTAGCGGACAGAGGTTTCCTGGTCAAAGAGTCCATTGAGAGGTGCCAAGCTGAATTAAAGATTCCAGCATTTACTCGTGGAAAGAAGCAGTTAGATCCTGTGATCCTGTTGACTTGGAGAACACCAGATGTCTAGCCTCTCTTAGGATACACATTGAAAGAGTAATTGGAGTTCTCCGTCAAAAGTACACAGTCTTGCAAAGCACTGTCCCCATAAGTTTCACGGACATAGAAAGAGAAAACGATGTGACCTACCTTGACAAGATTGTGGGCATATGTTATGCACTTACAAATGTGTCTGAATCTGTGGCGCCCTTCCAGTGATGGGGATGTACAGTAAATTGAACTGATGTGACTGGCTACAGATGTGCTCAACCAGAAAATAAACCTTTTTGACACTCACTTACTTATTGCTTCCTTGTTGTGACATTACTTTTGATCATTTTGATCACTCGCTATTCTGATGCGATCACATTCTGTTTACAGATCAAGCTGCACATCCACCCATTCTAACTGAGTTCCACCCAAGCAGATATTTGTTCTGGTGTGTTTGATATGAATGACCTACCCATGTTTCATATCCTTGATTGCTACAGATACTTAATAATGGGGAAGAGAACAATATTGGTTTAACAACTGTTTATTCATAAATAAGAGAGTACAGTATCAGCTACTACTCTTTTTTGGGCATTGATTACTTTTCGGCAGCTGGGACATACCCACTGTTTTGGGACCCTTTTCATGCAAAGGCAGGTTTGGTGAAACTTTTTAACAGAACAAAAACCTGATGCACAGACCAACATGTTCCCTGCTTCTGGCTCACGGCAGTAGCACCACTGTTGTCGACTATGATCAGCAAATGCTGCTGGTTTTGGTGCAGAAAAATACTTGGCTAGCAGCTCTGGAATGATACATTTTTTAAAGAAGTCACAAGCACATTACAATTCTTTGTCAAAGAATGCCACATCAGGAGTGACACGTTCAACAAAAGGTGAAGTACTTCCTCTTTCAGTCCACAGAATGAAATCGCAATATGGTTTGTTACTAACAAATGCATCTGTACTTGATAATAGTATGCACGGTCCCGCTTCAGTCTAATTTTTCCTTGTGCATCTTTTTCAAGGCAAAAGTGTGCAACAGAATTTACTGCCTCATTAACAGAAAGGTCTTTTACAGAAGATGGGCACTTAATTACGATGACACCTGAACCACAGCAGCTGCAGGAAACATATCCATCAGGTGAGGCCCCAATGAATGGGTGCAGGGGTGAAATCCTGAATCCAGCTGTTCCATCCGTGTGTGAGAGGCAAAGCTGCATTTCATAGTATTTTCTTGCCAATTCCTCGTGCTGACATCCCCTTCTGAAGAAACAATAATAACATTAGTTTCGGACAATGGTAATGCCACTCCACATTGGTACTGCTCATTCAAATTGATACTACTTTTACACTCCTGCTTTTTTAGAATAGTACTTCCTGGATTTACCCTCCCTGTTCTTTTATATACATCACATTCACTTGATTGTACACCATCTGGAAATGACAATTTTATACACAGGAGCAGTTACACACTGCATGCCCCATTTTACCCTAACCCTTCTATGCTCATGAATACCTGGTAGCCTCACTGGTGAAACTGCTGTTCCTTGGTCACAGTTATGTCTTCAAATAGTGCTTCTGCTCGATCTTGTAACTCTGCCAGGTTGAGGTCTCTTGTCTGCTTGTTATACAGGTTGATGAGGGGTTCTGGTAGATCCAGCATGACAGCCTTTGGCACATAGGATGCTGCATACTCTTTGACAACAGACAGGACTACTGGTTTGATGATCTGCTCCTTTAGTGTGCGGCATTGCGAGAGGTTGTTGTAGAGTTGGGCTTGCTCAGCAGCGGTCAGAGGTGGGAAAGCTGGGGGGACAGAATGACCTTTCGAAGATTTTCCTTTTTTATATTGTTGAGAGTTGTTAAAAATTATGTCCTTGCCCTGCTGATACTCCACTTTCTTTAAAGAGTCCTCACTTGGGGTGGCCCACTTGCACCTTTTGGATGTTACAGCTATCTCTTCTTTTCTTCCATTGTTATGCTGCCATATGCTGAACAACACAGCTGACACATGGGAGCAGCTCTCACCAAGTCCAGCTGTGCAATTGCAGTGGGCTCCCCATCATTCCTCACCACCATCCATGGCTTTAACTGAGGGTCATTAAGCCTTTGGGAATGATTAACCTATACATGAAATAAAAAAATGTCAGCTAACTTGGTTGAGTACATCAAAGATACAAACTAAATACAGTCCTACAGATAGCCAGACGCACCGCGGTTGCTAGCCAAGCTAACATAAACAAACAACCCGGACCCCTACTAGCCATGCTAACGTTACACTACCTATTAAACTGGGACACTTACCCTTCCAGTGATGATGCAGCATTTTTTTTGCTTGAAGATTCCACAGCTGGATGTTTCACGAGTTCACACTTACAAATGATCAGAGAATAGATGGTTATGCGTATTTGGCGTGCTGTCCGGGGGGAGGGCTCCGAGCTCGGAAATTGGGCCCGAACCCAGAGTACTCCCCCCGTATCTCTGTTTAGGAAGATAACTAGGCAAGTGTGAGGAGATGGGGTGGTGGAGGGATGCTGAAAACTGTCGAGGAATATGGGTGAGTCGACTGAGTATATTTATAGGCTTTACTCGTGCTGATTGAGTGGACCTGTTGATTACTGATTGCTGACAGCTGGCTGGAATGACTTGATTGTTTGATCATTAGAACGTGTTCCTCCCGAACCTTGTTAATAAAACATCAATTCACAAGTTCACACTTACAAATGATCAGAGAATAGATGGTTATGCGTATTTGGCGTGCTGTCCGGGGGGAGGGCTCCGAGCTCGGAAATTGGGCCCGAACCCAGAGTACTCCCCATAAAGCAAAGTGAATAAAGGACAGCCGCCTGCTTAAAGACCCCCCGAAAAGAGCGCAGAGATTGGCGGGCTGGCATTTCAAGGAGAGCCTGGTTGTTTGGCTGGGAGAGCTCTCGCAGCGTCCGACGGGAGCTCAATGCTTACGGTGTCGGACGGGTAAGTATGGATGTTCGAACGGGAGGGTTCTTGTGGCAATGGTCACGGCATCGCAAAGGGTAAGCCTCATCAGTCAGGAAAGAGAAAAACATAGATGCTTGAC